ATCTTAGGGAGTGGGAAAAAGTGATGGAAAAAGAGTTGTTGGATGCAATCACACCAATTCAACCCAATCAAGGAAACGGGGACAAGTGGCTTTGGATATTAGATAGTAAGGCTGGCTATTCCACAAAGTCAGCATACCAATTCCTGATATCAAGGCCTCATCGAACCGAAGAGGTACCATATAAAAAAATTTGGAACCCACTGATACCTAACAAGATCTGCACTATGGTATGGCAGCTGGTGCAGAACATAATTCCAACTAAATTTGAGCTATTCAAAAGAGGAGTTTTAAGCAACGAAAGCATGTCGACATGTGCTATGTGTGAAGAAGACGTGGAAACTTCAAACCACCTGTTTCTACACTGTCAAAAAGCATACAATATATGGGGAAAGTGTCTAAAATGGTGGGGAATATCTTCGGCACGAGCAAGAAACTGTCGAGAGGATTTTTCTCAACAATGGGGACAATTCACAGAAAACAGAGAAAGAGAAGGCCGGGCGTTTATATGGTTCGCATATGCATGGGCCCTATGGCTGGCTAGGAACAATTGTGTATTCCATGGAAAGAAATCGGAGATTGAAAGGGTCCACAATCAAATTCAAGTCAGCTCATGGGAATGGGTGAAAGCAAAATGCAAGAATTGGGATGTCTTCCTCACAGATTGGATACTAGAGCCCAAAGAAAGTATGAAAAGGCTACGTGTCAAAAGGAATCAAATTTGTGCAGATGGATATTAGCCATCACAGTATCAAGGAAGGATGTGAGGAGGTTGATGAATAACAGCATGCTGCAAACACTTGAGACGTACCATAAATGCAACTAAGGAACTCCAGAGCCAAATATATCAACAAGGGAGGTTGTGGCATTCAGGAAGGGCTGAGCATTCTGAATCCCGACACGGACGTGGTGTCGACACTTTATTAGGGTGTCGACACCAAACGGAAGAGCTGAGCTCCCAAATCTCCGACACGTACATGGTGTCGACACATATAGGTATCGACACCGAACGAAAAGGCTATTTGACTATGTAACTCTTTGCCTTTCAAACTGAGATGTTTACGGGTTTGGGGTACCCCTTGTACTCCGTTTCAATAAATATTACTTTTGCTTTTAAAAAAAAAAAACAAAAAGTGTGATTCAAGATGCTTTTTGCTTTTGTATCTGCCTTCATTATTTGAAGTGAACAACATGTTGGAAAGGATTTTCACCATATGCAGGTATGTAAAGACTGAACTGTATTTTAGTATATATTTTCCTAATATTTCGGTGAATGTTAGTCTTCCTTCAATCTGAAAATTACCGTCAAGGGTAGTGAGAGAAGTGTTATAAATGTTCACAGGCTGTAGAATTTGTGAGTATGCAGCATGATGATGAACTTTGGGAAGAACTGATTAAGCAATGCCTAAACAAACCTGAAATGGTAATGATACCTTATGCTGACTCAAGACATACTTGCTTCTCTGATAGTTGCATCATATTTAAATTTGTAATTTTGTAAACTCTTCTTAGTTCTCTCACCAACTGGCAGGTTGGAGTCTTATTAGAGCACACAGTTGGCAATCTTAATCCTCTCTATATTGTAAACATTTTGCTTAATGGCCTAGAGATACCTCGGTTAATGTGTTCTCTCTTTTGTCATGGGAAACTATGGTTTCACAAATTGGAAATAATTAGTCCCTTTTTTTCTTTATAAAACAGAAAAGAGAAAAAGAAATCTGAACATGCCAAATTTCAGGGAGGTTTTGTTCCGGTAGAGGCTTACTGCCTGGATTTTCATTATCTGTTGATTAGATTTCAAGGAGGCAATACATAAACAACCTGTATGATATGGGTTTAACAATTTTAAAGAAGAATAGCCTCGTGGTTTTAACACTTCCCACATGCTGGCAGGAATGGGATGACCTGATCCCCCCAATCAGAACAATTACTTGAACAGGCTATAAATTACCTACATCCTGTTATTAGAATCATGGTAAATTTACTCTGGTATCTATGTTATCTTCAGGCTCAGGAATTGTCTAGTCAAAATATTACTGATTACAGAACAGAAACATCTCTTAGACATGGGTGTAATGACATTCTCAAGGTACTCTTGCTGTCATCGTGTGTTGCAGGCTTTGTTTATGGAAATGTAAAAAACTTGATTTATTTTATAAATGTGAAACATGCAGGCTAATTGTCTTAACCTCTTGGTTAAATATTACAAAGAAGGAAGATGTGCAGTTTGCTTGAGCAATGAAAGAAGATAATGCTCGAGCAAAAGGTGATGGGGGTAGGACTTGTCAGGCAACGGAGAAAGCACTTAGTGTTAGAAACATGGAGGTGAAGTCAAAAACCAGGGGAGGTGCAAGATGTTGCATTTGTTTTGATCCTTTCTCCATACAAAATCTGTCAGTCATCGTGTTCTTTTGCTGTCCTGCCTATCACACTACTTGCCTTGTGGATGCTGCTTACACTAGCAATAGCAAAAGAGGCGTTAGAGCCACTACTCGTCAGCTAGAGTTAAACTACGGGTGTGATACTGGTGTGAAGGAGGATGATGAAGATGAAGATGAGGATACCCAGTCAGGTATGACTCGCATCCAATGTGTCTTGTACTACAGCTTCTAGTTAAGTTTTTAATAAAGCTTCAATACATGCATGTGTGAGTTGTGTGTGCAGGGCATGTTGTTAACTTGAGCGTGCGCTCATGTATTTTTTCTTTTCCATCTACTTTCTTTTTTCTTTCTGGGTTTGTCTTTGGCTGGGAGATTGTATTCTCCTCTCCATGTATTTTGCCCACATCTCTTAAATTGCATTGTACATTATGGTCCATCTAAGTATCACACAATGCATAATCAATTTTTTGATAACTAAGTAAAATCATTCCCTTTTGTATTTTAAGTTGTTGAATGTATGTTTAATTTAAAGCTAACTGAAACGAGAATCTCTTTTCTTTAAGGTAAAATATGAATTATAGACTATAATTAAAATGGTTTTTTATTTTTTATTTTTTGTCTTTTTTTGCTTGCGCTTATAATTACGTCTGTCAGATAAGATTTGATTGTATTAGGGTCGGTCTGTATCATTAGGTGGTTGTGTTGTATTACTGACCTTGTGTTTTCAAGGCAGCGGTCAAAGCACTAGAGCTTTGGAAGTTTCCTTGGAAAGTTTGCCTTCGATACTTTTCTCTCTTGGATAACGTGGGAATCTTTGGACCTGACTGAATCTCCTTGGAGATTTGGTTGGAAGTCCCAATCCCGAATCAAAATGGACCTTAAGAGTTACTTCATCCATTTATTTTTAATAAATTTAATTTAAAATTTTAATTTAAAAAAAATAAATTTTAAATAACAAAATAAAAAATAAATTTCTTATTAACTAAGTCAAAAGGTAAAATTGATAAATGTACTTTCAAGAGAGAAGCAATAATGAATGCCTA